GCGACGTCCTCCAACCTGCTTGCGAAAATCTCCAACCTAAGAGCGATGACCTCCAGTGTAATAGGGATGGCCTCCAATCTACGAGTGCTTGCGAAAATCTCCAACTCAAGAGCGATGGCCTCCAATGTAATAGCGACAGCCTCCAACCTACTTGCGAAAATATCCAACCTAAGAGCGATGGCCTCTAACCTAAGAGCGATGGCCTCCAACCTGAGAGCGATGGCCTCCAACCTAAGAGCGATGGCCTCCAACCTGAGAGCGATGGGCTCCAGCCTAAGAGCGACGGCCTCCAACCTAAGAGCGATGGCCTCCAACCTAAGAGCGATCGCCTCCAACCTACTAGCGAATTTCCAACCTAAGAACGATGGCCTCCTACGTAATAGCAACGTCCTCCAACCTGCTTGCGAAAATCTCCAACCTATATAAGAGCGATGGCCTCCAAACCTACTAGCGAAAAGATTCAACCTAATAGCGATGGCCTCCAACCTAAGAGCGATGGCCTCTAACCTAAGAGCGATGGCCTCCAACCTAAGAGCGATGGCCTCCAACCTAAGAGCGGTGGCCTCCAACCTAAGAGCAATGGCCTCCAACCTAAGAGCGATGGCCTCCAACCTAAGAGCGATGGCCTCCAACTCCAACCTGATGGCCTCCAACCTAAGAGTGATGGCCTCCAACCTAAGAGCGATGGCCTCCAACCCTACTAGCGAAAGGGCTCCAGGGTTCCCTCAAAAGAGGCTTTGTAGCTTTGCCAAGGTGTGTTGCGCTGTTTCTTCTCCACCCCTCTCTCACAGAACTGAACGGAGCTTAAACCGCTTGGCTGCTCTCGGTCGCTTCAGGTGCTGAGATCCTGGCTGCTTCCCTTCAGCCCATTGGCCTTGATAAGATCGCCCATCAGGCCAACTAAAGGTCCCATAGCCTTCCTTCGAATCGTTCACGTAGCCTCAGATCCCAAGACCCAAAGACGAGGCCGAAGAGGCAGCTAGTAGCTCCTAGCAAGGAGCAAGCTCCTAGGTACTAAGACGCTACTAAAACTGGACGCAGGATAGCTCACACTAATGATTTGGTTCCTAGATAATTAGGGAAACGTATACAACATGCTGGATTTCAGCAAGGGTTCAAGGAAGCTTCTGTCTACAAAAGACATTGTGTGCAAGGAAAGGCCACCCGTTCAGAATGTACGTCCAGAGTCACTCGCAAAATTACTATCTTCGATCACTTCTATCCTGCCTTTTAGTTACCATTAGGAACAAGAAGCTACTAGGGGCTCCTGGCCTTACTACTAGGAGCAAGGACGCTACTAGGGGCTCCTGGCATCGCTACTAGTAACAAAGACGCTACTAGGAGCCAAATGCTTTCTTTCTGTCGGTGGTCTTTGTGCCCTCATTCCCTGACGGGTGACTTGGTGGGCTTAAAACATCTCCAAACCCAACAGAACAACCTCTCCCAACATCTCGGTCTACCCACCGAAGCGCCGTTTTCTCCCACCCTCAGGTATCCCAAAGCCGGACATGAACAACTAGGAAAGAATGAAGAAAAACAAACAATGAAACACCGACAAACAAACACAGAAGGCCCTTTTTGTGGTTGTCGTTTATTCTACGAGTCTATTCCCCCCACATAGACTGCAAGGCACCACCTTCATAGACGCGGCCATCTGCCCATCTGAATTTGCCCTTGCCGTGCATTCGATTCCTCACGTGATCAGAAGAGGCTAATGTTCTGAGAATGCTTTAAATCTAATTCTAATAGCTTTTTGTTACTACTAGTAAGGCACTTGTTACTACTAGCGTGGCACTTGTTACTAGTAGTAACAAGAAATGTTTCTTCGTCCAAAGCAAACATGAAAATCACATGAAAAGACACTCATGTTGTTCCATGACTGCCCCCAAACAGCCAAATCCCGGCTCTGTCCTGTCCCACTGACCTTCGTAGACACGGCCATCCTCCCAACTGTATTTTCCTTCCCCATGGATGTCCTCAGAAGAGGCACTCAATGGTGTTCAGAGCCTTTTCTAGAGAAACTCCAACCTAATAGCGATGGCCTCCGACATCAACCTCTGCATGGACCTTGTGTTCACTGCCTCTTGACCAAACACAACAAACTCCACAACACGTAGACCATGTTGCTTTCGTAGGCAAAACATATGTGTCCTTTGCACCCTGCATAAGCAAAAGTCTCTCACGGCATGATAAAGGGACGTAGGTACAGGAAAAGGACATTGTTGCAGGGAACTGTTGCTTTGAAGTTTGCGGTCAACATTACGAAACCACTGGCTGGAAAATGGACAAGGCACATTCTCGAAGAACTGTCCTGCAAAGGAATGTCATCAGGCCAATGCAAAGTCCAATCGACAACTCTTTAGCAAATTGCCACTTTGACAATGACACATCCCTGTGAAACGGCCAATTGATCTTTTTCATCCTCGGATTGAAACAAAGGACATCGCTACTAGGAGCAAGGACGCTACTAGTAGCTCCTGGCCTTACTACTAGGAACAAGAAGCTACTAGGAGCAAGGGCATCGCTACTAGAGGCTCTCTCTCTCTCTCTCTCTCTCTTTCACTCCACACCTGAATAACTCGACCCATCAGCCCAAGTGAAGTCCCCTCGACCTGACCTCCAAAACAGCGTTGTTCTTTGCTGTGTCGTCTCAAAGCTCAACAAGTAGCAAAACGTCCATGTTTTTTTGTTAACACATGTAAGTCAGCCAACAAAAGAGCGCGTAATGTTCAAATAGAAGTTACGTATCTAAAGTGCCAAAATATTGCATGAAACCTTCTGAAAATACCTCTCCTGTGGCACAAAATATTCTATGCATTTCTGCCAAATCTTCTAGGAATGACCACTTGTTTACTGTTAACGCTTGTTTGCGGAGGCTGACCCTCTGCTTCTGAGGTGAGGACTTCAAGCCGTTCTCGTATTCTCCAACCTCGCCAAGTTCAACGGAACATCGGGAGCTTTTCTGAATGAAATGCTTTCTACACAAATCAAAACTCAAGCACAGCCCTACCGACAGCCCTACCGACAGCTGTTCGTTCCAAGCAGTTCCGAGCGGCATAGCGCGCTCCATCAGGCCACGTTTCTTCGCCATAACCGTGCTGCTTGTCATCCTCTCGGAATCAGTTTTTGGTCTCTCTTTGGATTGGAAGAGAACTCAAAAAAGAAGAAAGACTGTCGTTGAAGTAATCTGAAGAGGGCTTGAATGAACGGTAGAAGATAGATCGCAGTAACAGGAAGGCTCAGGGGAGACCGATAGCCCGTCCTGCCATTCACCGCTGAACTTCGATCCACTCGCATGGGTGTAGGTGCCTGACGGAGCCACATTGCCCGCTTTCTTCTCTTTTGACATAGCAACGTTCGCTACTAGGAGCAAAGGGCATCGCTACTAGGAGCAAGAACGCTACTAGGGGCTCCTGGCCGTACTACTAGGAGCAAGTAGCTATTAGTACCAAGAAGCTACTAGGTGGAGGCCATCGCTATTAGGTTGGAGGCCATTACTACTAGGAACAAGAAGCTACTAGTAACCATGTTCTCTTTGCTTTTCTCTTATCCGCTATCTGCCGAATTGAGAGTGCGTTCAAAAACGAAGTCATTTCATGCTTGCCAGCACAAAACCTTTGGCCTCTGAGGTCAAGTGCAGTAAAATCCTTTGAGGGAAAGCTTGCTGGATCCAGACATGAAAAGACTCAAGGAATGAAAAAAGAAAGGTCCAAAGGTCTATCAAAAACAACATTAAGCAAGTGAAGCAAGTAGACATAATATAGTTCTTTGTTTAACACTATCTTCGTTGTCTTTCTTCCATGAATGTTTGTTTAGTTTAGGGTCTTGGACCCCCCTGCATGAACGCTATTGGCTACGCCAATGAGGCTCGCCGTTTCTTCCCTTGCGCACCTTTGGATCTAGACCTTCCTTTGAAAAGTCTTTCTAGACCTGTTCCTGTTGTGGAACGAACACGTTTGGAGACCATCGCTCTTAAGTTGCTTTCCTTTTTCCCCTTTTTCGAACGAACGCACGTTTCGGCTGCTCGCGCCGTCGCGCCGTCGCGCCGTCGCGCCTCGGCCGTGAGCTTTGTCCACCAGCCAGTTTCCCTCATAGATGTCCCCATCGGTGTGCTCGAAGCGTCCAAAGCCGTGTGCCTTGTCGTTCTCCCACTGACCTGGAGCCGCGCTGAAAAGGCGTCCCACTTCGTTAACGATGCGTCGGTCTGGAAGACCGCACTTTGAAAAAGAAGGTAACACAACGCATTCTCCAAGCCTTGGCGCCTGAGATGCAGAACACGTTTTGGAAAAACCGTTCCTTTGGTTCTTCCACCTTCGGTTCTTTTGGTCTACAAAGAGCACAAACGAGAAAATGTCGGATGTTCTTTTCCATCCACACTCACAATCAAGAAGGTGACACAGAACGCGCCACAAACGGCGAACCTTCATAGCGAGCACCATCTGGCCATACCTGCCGAGAGATCGAAAGCAAAAACATTTACCAATCTGACCGCTTTTAGCTTTTAGTAGGAACAAGTGCCTTCTAGTAGTAACAAGAAGCTATTAGAAACAAGTGCATCGCTACTAGGAACAAGTGCCTTACTAGTATCTTTCTTCAACAAAGAACTGTGTACCTTATGTTCTATCGATCTATCTATCCATCCATCTATCTATCCAACATGCTGTCTCTTTTCTTCCTTCTATCTGTCAATAACTTATATTATGTGTGCTTGTTTTTTTATTTTGTTTCTTGTCATTCTTTTATTATCTGTATTTTCTGTCGGCTCTTCCTTTTTCTTATCTTTATTTTCTATCGGTTCTTCCTTTTCTTTTGTTGCAGTCACTTCTTCTTTCTGATGTTTTTCCTGTCTGTCTGTCGGTCTCTCTTGTCGTTTTCTTTCTTTCTCTCTTTCTTCCTCCCTGTTTTGCTTTATGCTTTTCTAGTTTCTTTCTTCCTTCTTTCTTTCTTTCTGTCTTTCTTTCTTTCTTCCTGTCTTTCTTTGTTCTTTCTTTCCTTTCTTTCCTTCTATCCTTCTCTCTGTCTTTCTTTTTGTGTTTCTTTCTTTCGTTTCAGGTATAGGATCGGATGAAACTGCCGGTGAATCAAATACTTGCAGCAGCGAATTCTGTTTTCCTATGATCGACGTATCATACACTTGTAAAGGCTCGCCCCTTGGATTGGAGGGGGGTTCTTGTTTGTTTGTGTGGATGGGATCATCAACTTAGATGTACAAAACCTTCAAATAAGGAATCCTTTGACTGGCATTTGAGATGTTGCCCCAAATCCTTTCTCAACTCTCGTACGTCTGAAGTGCAAACAAGAACTATCTCAAACACGTTGCCAACGGCATTGTAAGAGAAGGAAAGGAAAGGAAAGGAACATACAACAGGTCCAAGTGTCAAAGGAAACCAGAAAAAGAGGAAAATGACATGTTGTTTCGATTTACCCTTTTTCGACTGAAGGCTTTGGTCTCTGTAATCGCACACTGTTCGAGCGCACCTGCAAGCCGTGCCCGTGTCTATGAGGACCGAGCCACTCTCCCGTGTAGGTGGAGCCATTGGGATACCTGGCACCGTTCGTTTCTTTCGCTTTCAGGGAACACGCACCATGTCTCAAATCACGGCACCGTTTCTTCAAAACACGGTTGTCTCATGTTGTAGAGTAATCAATGCCAGGGAAACGTGTGCAAAGGTCTAGACTCTTGTCCAACAGCCTGCTCCTGCCGAAGGTGCTCATTGCCAACATATGGAAGGTAGCACATGAACCGTTTGGCAGTTTGTTAAGACCATCGCTAGTAGGTTGGAGGCCATTCCTACTAGTAGCAAGACTCTACTAGTGGAGTTGGAGGCCATCGCTATTAAGTTCCAATCTATTTCCAACAAGGACGCTACTAGGAGCAAAGGACATTTCTACTAGTAACAAGGACGCTACTAGAGGCTCCTGGCCTCACTCCTAGGAGTGGAGTGGAGGACGCTTCAGGAGTGAGAGAGAGAATTGAAAGTTCTAAGCTCCCATGCTACTAGTAACAGGTGCCACGCTAGTAGTAACAAGTGCCTTACTAGTAGTAACAAAAAGCTACTAGTAGCGATGCCCTTTGCTCCTAGTAGCGTCCTTGGTTCCTAGTAGTAAGGCCAGGAGGCCCCTAGTAGCGTCCTCTGCTCCTCTGTTCCTAGTAGTTCCTAGATTCTATTTACATATTGTTTCTACTTATATAACTAGTAGCTTGTTTCTAGTAGCTTCTTGTTCCTAGTAAGGCACTTGTTACTAGTAGCGATGCCCGCTCCGACGCACCCAAACGCTCGACATCGGCTGCCCGGGGCCCCGTTGGGAGGCGTCGGCTCCTTTTTGGGAGGCGTGGCGTCTACGACTTCGGCCTGGCCAAAAAGGAACTTCGGCCAAGAAGCTACTAGGAACAAGTGCATCGCTACTAGTAACAAGTGCCTTACTAGTAGTAACAAGAAGCTATTAGGAACAAAAAGGGAACCTTCGGCCAAGCTAAAAAAGGGAACCCGGCCAGTCTGGTACAGCCTCCGAAAGGGGGTCTAGAGTCAAGTTTGCACTTCACTGTCATGAAAGGCTGGATCTTCACTCAAATCGCTCTCACTGACGTCTGAAATGGAGGTTTTCAACAACCCGAGCCAACCTGATTGTCAGCATTGGCCTGACCTGCGTAATGCTCAGAGGACGCGAATGATGATTCAAATGACACCGAACTGACTTCAGCTCTCTAGTTAGCTGCTCTCTGGTTGCTCTTCATGGGCTCGATGCCTGAGCCTTCCTAGTTTTAGCCTCTTTGTCAAACCATACTGACCGATCTTTGCCAGTTTTCGCAAGTACCTAAACATGGACACATGTCGCTAAACGAGTGCGAGGGTTTAAGCCTTTAAACACACTGGCGTTAGGCAGTTTTTACAATCTCGCACAACCCAGGCCGCTGAGTCACACTCGACTTTCATTGTTCTAGCAGCATTGTTCCATGAATTGTTCATCACGGCATGTGCCATGAAGCTCTCCAATCCAAGTGCAGCCAAAGCACAGCAGTTAAACATGATTGACAAACCTCGGCTGTTCCACATGAAAGCTATTTGTGTGGGTTCTTTTGTGTTTTGTTTCCACTGATGAAGAAGAGTCGGACAGCCCCAATGTCAGACCAAAAAAGAATCTAGTTGTCCGAATCGATGTTTTTGAAAAAACATCGTCCAAAACCTTTTGCAAAGGCAACCTCGAAGGCAAACAATTGCAACAACCCATGAATTTCCAATTTGGGTTCGTTGAGCCAAGTCGCAAAGGAGAGAAAGGCCACATCCGCAAAACAGCTGTGGATGGAGCCAATGCAGCCAATGGAAAGAAAGAGATGCACTTTCCAAGTGCGAGCCCGAGTTGTTCATCCATTCAAGCAAAAAACATCGAAAACAATGATCATGTGCTTTACAGTATGTTTTTTCATTTTCAATTGAGTTTGGATGATCCACTAGTGTTTTCGCGGAACCAAACCTTGCTGGGCCAGAACTGGTTGCAGCTTAGTGCTTTGGTGAACAAACAAGCAACCGAGTTGCTCATGCAGATGGCCCACATGACTGTCAAACGGTTCCACACCGTGTGGTGAAAAATACGACGGCAACTGGAATCAAACAAAGTTTTTTCCATGGACAACGAAATGATCTGTTCACCACTTTTTGCGTGACCTTTTGCCCAAGCGCTTCACAAAGCCCATCCCTGAGTCCTTGTGAATCTGTGCAGAAATGGAGGTAATCACAACGCGAAAGCACTAGGAAACTTTGCAGCAACATCAATCCCGCATGAGAACCCCAATGCGCAGCCACACTCCCAACTCTACCAACTTCAAAGTTTCAGAACCAAATTTAAACATCATGTGAAAGGAAGTGCGCAAAAACAGTTTTCTAGAAAACAACTGGTCCGTCAAGTTCTGCCACTGCCACAAGCTGTCTCTGCTTAGTTCCCCACCTGCCAGGTGAGGGTTGTTAGATTTTATCACAGCTGTTCTTCCTCCGTCGCCTCCGCCTCCGCCGCCTCCTCGTCCTCCTCCTTCCTCCTTGCTTCCTTCCTCGCCAATCTGCTTCGCCGATCTTGTCTGCCAGCTCCGGATCGCAGTGTGCACCCCTGGTCCTCAACCGCAAGGATCCCCTCGCAGTGTGCACCCCTGGACCTCAACCGCAAGGATCCGATCGCAGTGTGCATCCCTGGACCTCAACCGCAAGGATCCGATCGCAGTGTGCACCCCTGGACCTCAACCGCAAGGATCCGATCGCAGTGTGCACCGCTGGACCTCAACCGTGTGCACCGCTGGACCTCAACCGCAAGGATCCGATTGCAGTGTGCACCGCTGGACCTCAACCAGATAGTTTGCCAGAAAAAATCCACAAACACACAATCACAAACACACGACCACAAACACAATCACAAAGCCACAATCACAAACACAATCACAAACACACAACTACAAACACAACTACAAAGACACAATCACAAACACATAACCACAAACACAAAACCACAAACACACAACCACAACCACACAACCACAAACACACAATCACAACACACAATTACAACACACAATCACAAATACAATCACAAACACGCAACTACAAACACAAGCACAAACACACAACTACAAACAAAACTACAAAGACACAATCACAAACACACAACCACAAACATACACGCAACACACAACCACAAACACACACGCAAACACACAACCACAAACACACAACCACAAACGCACAAGCACACAACCACAAACACACAACCGCAAACACAACCACAAACACATCCACAAACACAACCACAAACACACAACCACAACCACAAGCACAAACACACAATCACAAAGACACAACCACAACCACAACCACAACTACAAACACGCAATCACAAAGACACAACCACAACCACAACTACAAACACATAATCACAACCACTACCACTACCACAAACACAACGACAAACACATCCACAAACACACAACCGCAAACACAACTACAAACACACAATCACAAAGACACAACCACAACCACAACTACAAACACACAATCACAAAGACACAACCGCAACCACAACCACAACTACAAACACACAATCACAACCACTACCACACCCACAAACACACAACCACAAACACAACCACAAACACACAACCACAAACACAACCATAACCACAGCACACAACCCGAGGACCCACAAGCAACATCGAGAACTACAATACTAACGACTATGGCAACATGCTCCTCACTATGGCATCAAGACAAATGATTGAAATGTCATGGTGGGGATCACTCGAAGTAAAGTAATTTGGCTTTGGTTTTTTGTTTCCCACATTTCACATCATCACAAGCCTGACCCCTCATATTCAATACTGGTGGTTTTTTCCATGAGACTGACTTCAAGCGAATGGGGACTCTTTGGCCGCTGTGATTGGCGTGATTCTCTGCCGTCACGGTTGGTTGGTGGAGGACCACCAGCTGTCGGGTTCATCTCCGCCTCCATCCACAGCACAAAACCACAACACACAACCACCACAACCACAACACACCACAAACACATCCACAGCACACAACCACAACCCACAACCACATACCACAAACACAAACACACAACCACAACAGTCACCAACACACACAATCACAAACATGTCAGACAATGTGACAAGCATGTTTTTGCAAAGTCAAACAAAATGCCAAAGAAAATGTTTCTGCTGTGTCCTGTGCATCTTCTTCTTTTGCCTTCACTTGACAGACAGCGCACCCCTGTCTTGCAAGAATGACCTCACCATAAAAACATGTCCCCTGCTTGTTTGAACTTGCAGCAGGCTCTTCAGTTCTTTCCACTCTTGACATTCTTCAAGTCAAAAACAGCTCAAGCTGATGCCCTTCTCACTCACACTTGAGCTTCAGTGACCATCAATCGAAAACTGTTCAGGCAGGACATTTTGCTCGGAACAACAACCTGACCCTGCTTCTTCTTCCCTGAGAAATTAGCCTTTGTGAAAACACGGATGCGTAAGCTTCCGTTTTGATCCCGCTCACTTGAGCCAAAGTCACAGTCGGTTTAGATTGTATCAAAGCTTACCAGAAGCTTGTCAACTCTTCTCAGAAGAGGCTTGACTGTTTACAGTCTTCTCAAACAGGTCTCATACTTACCAGTAGAACTATCTCCAAACTATCTCAAGCTACCTTCAACTATACACATCTCTACTCAAGGACTCTTTAGGTTTCTTCTGGCCACATCTCGTCACATCAGACCTTCTACTGCTAAGTCGGCCAAAGCAGAAACACCAAAGAGGACCAAGGACCCAAGTCAGCTCCAACCCCAAGTCACCAAAACCGAAAATCTACCTAAGAAACAGGTACTAGGTGATCCACACTACCTTTCCCACCCCTTCTTGGGTCACATGGCGCCGCCTTCTGTTTCTTTCTCTTCTTCTATTCGTTTTCTCTGGACAACTAAGAATCAGACAACAATTAAGGTCTCAACCCCTGTCCTCCATGATGATCTCCAAGTTAATCAACCATCAACAAATCAAGCAAGCGGACCAAGTTCAACTCAAGTTCAAATCAGATCAACCAAGAACAACTCGACCAACAAGCACGTGATTCAATCAAGCACCCCAAACAGCTTCAAAACGATTTGCTTTGACCAAAATCAATCAAAAATCGATTTCTTGGTCAGACTGGGTCACAGAGCCCAGCCACAGTTCAGGCGCGGCCAAGACAAGGACAAAAAGAGGACAAGGCCGGGCCACTCTGTTCACGAAGGTTCACAAAAGTACAGTCGGAAACGACCAAAAACACATTCCAAACGTGTTCTGGCGTCCACGACACCACTGTAAATTCGCTAAACATCCCAACACATTGGAAGATTCCCAGAGTCACATGCGGTCTTCAAACAAGTGGTGTGAGTCTTCGCTTCTCAGCACCGTTTTTTTTTGCACGAGTACGGACGCCATGTGTGCAGTGTGCACAGGTCATCATGTGAAGGATGGAGACTCTGCATGTTGGTGAGGAGAGCAAAACCAACACAAACAACAACCCCCAAACAAAAAAAAAGAAACCAGCACCAAAAGACCCCTTCAACCCATGTGGGCAGAGTTTCGCACTGTACTGAGGTAGACGTTTAACTGACTAATCGGGCCTGAATTCCCGAAATTTGCCATACAATGCAATGGGACATTGAGTTGCTGCCCTTGAAGGCCATTCACCAGTGGCCTTCAGGAGCAGACAAGGTTTTTTGCGCGGGTCGAGGCGCTATGTGTGCGGAGGATGCACAAGTCACCTTAAGCTGGTAGAGAGAGTTACGAACCAAGAGGCCGAACAGGAAACAAACAAACAAACAAAAACCACAAACCCACAAACCAAACCCCCAAAGCAAAGGCCAGGTTCGTAACTCGAGTCGGCCATGTCACCCTGTTGAGAGGGTGAGACATGGGGCAATGAATTCAGCCTTTGCACTCAGTGCGTCACCATCATTCAGTGATCTTCCCACGAAACGGCAGCACCACCATGTTTGCAGCAGTCAAATCCTTTGAGGCCTTCAGGAGCGGACAAGGGGCAGGTCAGCCCTGCTAGGCTAGGTCAGCCATATTCGAATGCACGACAGTTTCAGCTGGCGGACTGTTTGCAGCATTTCAGATCAGTTACGATCATTTACGATCAGTGGTTGCAATGCTGCACTGGCCTTGGAAAACAGCCTGCCCAAGGTACAGCTATTACACACGGCTGCACAAGCAGAGGCGACTTTTTTTGCACGGGTCGAGGCGCTATGTGTGCAGAAGATGCACAAGTCACCTTAGGCTAGTAAAAGAGAGAGATACGAACCACGCAGCAACACCGGAAACAGAACAAACCAACCAAAACAACAAACCCAACCCACCCAACAAGAAGCAAGGTTCGTACCTCAGGTTGGCTGCGTCAGCCAGTAGAGAAAAGTGAGACACGGTGAGACGGAGGGGCGATGAATTCATCCTTTGCACTCAGTACTTCACGATCTTGGCATTGTCCTTTTTCTTCTAAAGAATCTGTGACATTGGTGCAATGCTTTCGAAATCTGTCGAGATCTGTTGCACTCTTCGTGCGAGAATGTGCGATGCGGTTTTCTGAGGTTTTCTGCTTTGCAGCCGAAGTACCTTACTTCAAATGAGGCTTCATCGCACTGAACACAGTGTCGCAAGGCATGGATGAGCAGTGCAAGTTTGAGGGACAAGGTAGCTCCGAGTGCTTTCACAACCTCGTCGTTGTCTCCGAAATCACGCATGGGTGAGCAGTGCAAGTCCGTGAGCCAAGGTGGATCCGAATGCTTTCACAACCTCACCG